AAAAATGCACAAAAGATAAATTATTTTGGGTTTTAGAATAAAACGGGTCATTTTAAAATATGAATAATTTGTGGGGTTCAGTTGTAGGTTTTACAATGGAATGTTTCTTTTTGTAATGAACCGTTACATATGTATATATAAGAGTATATGCAACTTATGTTTTTATTGCGTTCATACTTTCCGCATAATGCGCTGATGATAAAAATATACTAGGTGGCTTTTAATAAACCTTTTGAAATGGAGAATACATTCAATGATTATTTTTATACGGAGATGTAAATAATTTTTTGTGCATATAATTGTACCGAAAAATAAAGCACAAATACGGGGACATATGAGTATTTTGTGAATTAGGGTTAAGATTTTAGTTTGTTTAGGGGGTTATGGTTCAGGGGTTGACACGTTTACGCTTCTTTTATTGGAGGAGTATTATTATGTGGAGTTGTCCGTATGTACCTGGAGTACCGTTGTATGAAGTGTACCGGTATCCCCATAGTTCTATTATGGGTACAGTACTGTTATGTGCATAAGGCATAATGTCAGTGTAGCAATTGAGTAAGGGTTGTACGCGTATACCCCATAGTGCTACTGTGCGGAAGTTACCTAAATCGTCACATTACCCACATCCTTACGGCACCGACATTAGCTGTGTATTGCTCCCTCAGGAAAACATATGCGTATGTTTGGTTACCAGTATTTGTAGAGTAGCGGTGTAGGTTTGGATGGCTGGCGGAGCGTGTATATTTGCGCGTAGCATAATTATGTGGACAGTACTGATATGCTCCTGGTGATATGGTGTGAAAATTGAGTGCATAGGGATAGTGCCATTTTGCGTAGTGCACGGATTATTGCAGGGGTACTATTTACTGAAGAGTATTGATGCGTCAAAATTTTTAATGGTGAGAATTGCGGAAGTTCCCGCTGTGTTGTTATACATGGGTGTACTATTGGTTGAGCTATTATAGGTATAACCTGGGGTGCTATTATTTTTGAAGAGCACCATTATATAAAGAGAAGGACGGCGCAAAAATGCTAGGGTTCGCCCGGAATACTATTAATAAATGAGTGTCGCCGTGGTTAACATATGTAATGGTGTAGTGATGAGGTCGATGTGCCCGGAATACTGTTCGCAGAGTGATATGCATGCCCATAAGATATTAACGAATACTTATTTTGTAGCAGCATAGAGGGGAAGGAAGGAGGAAATGCTATAACAAGAATGACCCTAATGAAGTATATACGTGGGGGAATATCTGGCACAATTGTCCATTTTGAAGGAGGAGGAAGTATATAGGTAGAACCACATATAGATTACTTAGAAGTATGAACAAATGGGAACATGTACATGAAAAGGGAAGTGTGAAAGGGAGCGTAACAAAATATGACCCAAAACAACTTAACCGACAGGAGCTAATTCGCTATAAGACAGTCGGATAGTCCACTGCGAATTTTTATGTAGTTTAAAATATACCCAATTGTTCGCAAAGAGGGGGAATATGCAGGCACATATGTGCTTACATATATTAATTCGTGCGATGCTCGTTTTTTTTTGTGTTAATATTCAATGCTATGGCTTGAATTACACATTGTATGATTTCCCCCGCTGCACTATAACTTATTGTCCTGTACTGTGCATTTGTGATTTTACACCTGCAAGTGTATTTATTTTTTTTTTGAAATTTTAAAAACTTCTTTAAGACATAATTTTTTTTTCATAAAAATGTAACAAATTTTTTTGGTGTAAATTATGAAGAAATTACTGCATTTATTGTTATTAGCGGGGTCAGGTTTTTAAGGCTTTAGGATATCACACATTTATTTTTGCACGCTTAGATATATTTCTATGTAACAGATATATGCATAACAGGTATATAAATAAAAATATATATATGTATATGTATATACATTACATGTACATGAATAAGTTTCAATATTTTGGAATGTACAAAAAATATGAAATGAAAAGGAAAAGGTTTCGAATAAATCAATTCAGGGAAAAGAGGGTACGGTGAAATTTAGGAAGTGTAAGAAATATCAAACTGTTTTTCATCAATACTATGTATTACTCAATGCATTCACTTTTTTCCTCAAAATTGTGACGAAAATTATGTTCGTGAAAAAGAAATTTAAATAAAATTGATCGAGCTGTATTGGCAGTTTTATTCAAAAAAAAAGGGGGTTGATGATTTGCCACCTTACACTCGTAGGTACGATTTATAGAATTCGTCCAATTTGGAAAAGTATAGGGTCCAATCAATAATTGTATATTTCTCTATCCATTTATTTGTTCATTCATTACATGATAAAAAGGGGGAAATCACAATCGCATATTATTACTAAAAATATATAATATGCAATATGTAATGTAATACCAGGCGCATTTTTTTTTCTGCTCATTTTTTTAGCCTAATCGTATGACATACATATATATATATATATATACGTATATTTTAGCCGTATTGTGAATTCAACTGTAATTCTTCCTTTTTCTTCTTTTTTCTTTTTATTTGTTGAGCGAGCACAAATTATAACTCTGGCTCAGGGCGGTTTATTCGAACTGACACAAATACATCATTTTCTCAGAGCGGTGTGCGTGTGCCAAGAACTTGTCTATGTATCGTTTTATAAATTTGGCTCATTGAAGTATTTGTTTATTTGAATTATTGACGTCTTCTTATTGTTTAAAAAGCAAGGGAACATATGTGAATACATAAGAAATAAAAAAAGCATGAGAATCGTATGTCATTGTGTTGCGTGAAGCGGTATATATACATAAATGTGTTACTACGTTTACATTCCTTTTTTTTTTTTTTTTTTTTTTTTTTTAATTTTAATAATTATAATATTTACATTAACTTCAAACATTTGTGGAGCAATATTTTGCAAATATTTATAATTAAACAAGTTGAGAATTTAAAGAATTTTCATACTATAATTTGACTTAATATATTTATTTTATATAAGAGAACAGTTGTTTTCTTCCTTTTTCTATAGTTCCAAATTTTTCCTTGATTAAACAAATTTATATTCCCATTCTTTCTTGGTTAGGCCTTTTGTCAGAAAATTTTGCACACATCAAATTAATGACAAAAAATTTATGTTGTTTCCAGTGAGTCCATTTTTCCCATTCCAATTCTAAATATATATTCATTCTCTTTAAAGGGAAACTTTTTTTTTTTTTTTATGAGTCCTGTTTGTTTGTTTATATATATATTTGTAACTGACACGGAAAAATACTCAACACTTTACCAAATATAAGAAGTTCGATTTTGTTATACAAAGAGTGTAAACGGATTCAGGACCAGAACCCTTTTTTTTTTTTTTTTTTTTTTTTTTTTTTTTTTTTTTTTTTTT